GTTGATATTGCAGTTTTGTTGCCAGTTGAGAAGTTTATCTTATTTGTTGACGTGGTCTAAATGTATATCTTAGATGTTCCTTTTTTTTTTTGTTTTTTATGTATTGATGAGAAGTCTCAGGGTTTCTTTTTAATGGTGGGGTTTTGTTTGTTTGTTTGTTTGTTTGTTTTTTCCGCAGAAACTTTTTCCCTGATGTTTTTAATCTCATTTTTGGCTAGAAGTTTCGTTTTGAGTTGTTCTTGATAGTAAGAATTCTTTCTTATACAGGAAACAACCTGTGGAAATTCAGAGGTATAATTTGAGATATCGCAATTTAGTTTGCATTGCAGTCATGCACACTAAAAATGCAGTCACCATTAAAGAGCAATGTAACTTCTTATACGTTTTGGATTTGAACCTTTTGAAGGTGCAAGACTTCTCTAGGTTATCTATAGACTGTCTGCTGAAGGGCATTCAGGGACCATCCTGAAGGTTATATTTGCCAACAGGGATAATGGGAAATATTTTTCAATTGGTTCAGGAATGGATGCCAGTTAAACTTTGTATTCTGTTTTTCATTGTGGACTTTCATTAGTTATGTGTGTAGGAGAGTTTTCAGGATGTATTCAGTGTACAGATCTTTTAAAAAGTAGTATTTTGTATCTAAATAAAAAAACTTAATTCTGAAGACAAAATCTTTAATTTCATAAATTAGTTCATAATACACACACAGTATATTTTCATGTCTTGTAGTTATGTTGTATCTGTGTAATTTAAATCTAATTTATTAAGCAGTTTGATCTAGGTTTAGCTGATCTTGGAAAATATGCTCTCTGTAAAAATGCCACACATGCTTTGCTTGAATTTAAACTGTATGACTGTCATCATTTGCCTAGAATGATTGTCCATCTGTTACCTTCTGAATAGAGTGGGGTTTTGTGTGCAAAAAATGACAGTGTTAAACTGATTTATTTTTGTAACTGATTTTAAAGAAAGAGATTCCTCACTGTAAATCCTAAACTTGTTGAAATTATTTGTGAGAGGACACAGCAAACAGACATCCAGTGGGTTTTTTCTTCATTGCTATCGGTTACTTGCTGTTCTTTCCAACAAAAGGGTTTTCATGCTCAGTTTGGGGAAAAAAAAAAGCCTAAATCTAAAATATCTCTAAAGAGAACTCATTTTAAGGATTCTGATGGAAAATTAACTGATCTATGACATTTTGGGGGTCTGTAGAGGAAGAAGTGCAGTGATGTCTGAATTGGCACCTGAATCCTAGACATTGGAACTAAATAGATAACTGGCATTTTATGGAATGTCAGTAAACTGGAGTTTGGCTTCTAAATTGGTTCAGAATCACTTGTGCTTGAAAGTGAAAGCTCAGCATCTTCATAAAACTATGTGCAGACATAGTAGGCTTTTAAAACCTTCATTCTTCTTATCATATTTAGCCTCAACTTTCTAACAGTTGTAATTGTCCACAGAAAACATTTCAAGATAAATGCATTATCAGGTTTTGAAATTTTCTTATTTTTGTAAATACTAAGACCTGGGGGGCGAAATAAGGGCTATATTGTGGATTAAGTGAAATATCTCAAGCCTGCGGTTTTCTGATAACTGAACCTGAAGTGACCTTTCTCAGACACAATTACAGAGCTGTATGTTTTTCCTTTAATTTCATCAGGGGTTTAATTAGTATACAAATAAAACTTCCCTTATCTTCCTTTCTACCTAATTGGCTTGTCTTCCCTTATATATGAAGAATGTGAAAATGGGCTGTAATTAGGGTGACCGTGTTAACCTTTTTTTCTCAAATGTACTGTTGCCTAAAGGCCTCAAGGCCTAAAACCAGTGCTTTGGATTATTGCTTTGCAATCACTATGGCTCTCCCACAGGTTTTCTCATGAGCAGAAGGGCTTTGGGTGCTGCAGGTTCCCACTGCTTAACAGGATCTTCATTCTTCTCCCCACTAAATGTTTATTGATTATCTTACTGCTCCACACTCAGCCTCCAACAACTTAATATCAGGTGACAGTCAGGAGAGTTCTCCAAGTAATTAGAGTAGAGCATTGAGGGAACAATTAGGAGCAGAGTTATTAAACTTGATTTATCCTATTCTCTCCTGAACACTTTCTTAGATATCAGAACATCACACTTTCACAATCTACCCTGGCTGAGAAATTACTGGCTAACCTGCTGCTTATCATTGTTGCCTTGCTGCCTTGAGGCACACCCTCTTGGTTTCAGTCACTCAGCTGGAAATATTAGAGTCCATAAAGTTTATCAAGGGTTTTAATTAGATCAGTCTGAAGAAGGAAAAAAAAGAGAGGCTTACCAGCCATTACTTTAGAATACTCCACACTGTATTTTAGCGATTTCCAAGGCTTGACTTTAACCCAGAGTAGCAAGGAGCTTCAAGTGAATGCTAAACCTGCTTTTAGAGGGCTAGAATCCGTTTACATTTTGCTTAGATATTGCAATGTTACCGATAAGTAAAGTCTGAATCCTTTGTAGATTTCTGTAAATAAAGTTTTGAGTATAATAAAGCAGCTGTTCAGTCAGATATTTGATTTAATCATTTATATATTGCTCTGTCAACAGCTAGTGTGGCTTGCTGGCTATGCCTTTCAAAAAGCTAGGCCTGCATCCCTGTTATTGCTTCATTAATAGGCCTGCACTTGGAATTGATAAGCAAGATTAGTTAGCAGCTCCCAGATTTTGAAACCTTATGGGTTTCTCCTCCATTTTTGGAGAGTGATGAAAGCTTTATGCAGAAGCAGACAACTCTTCAGCTCCCGTAGAAGGATAGCTATCTAATAAAAATGTAATAAATATGCGCCTGTCTTTCTTCACTCATTTAGATCGCTGGAGTCTTGGAGCCAGACACTGTTCCAGCAGCCTCTACATCAAAAGTTACTTGCATCAAAATCATCTATTGTGCATTGTCCAGAGCTCAGTCCTGTGACTGCACTTTGAAAACAGACTTTTCAATCAGATGGGAAAGTGGGTGAACAAAGCATTGGCACAGAAAACATTCTCTATGCAGCACATCTTGTTTGTCAAAGGATGGAAATACGGAGGGAGGGGACTTAGTTTTCAGATCCGTTTCTCAGTGGTGACTTAGCATAAAACAGTAAACACAGTAAATGGAAGAAGATAATGTTCTTTATTCTTAAATTAAAGATCACTCCTTTGATCCTTGCTAATCCACATCTGGTTTCTTGGAAATAACTTTTCTGAAAATATGGCAGTTCACAAATCCAGTTGTTCAAACAGAGCTTTGATAGCTGTTGGTTTATTCTGAAAGCACTACTTCTGGTTTTGGATAACTTCATGCATATCACAGTATCACAGTATGTTAGAGATTGGAAGGGACCTCGAAAGATCATCTAGTCCAATCCCCCTGCCGGAGCAGGAACACCTAGATAATGTTACACAGGAATGCGTCCAGGTGGAAGAATAAGATCTGTGTGTTTATCTTTTTTTTAGATGAAAATCACATTATTCCTTGAAAATAATGACATAAGAGGCAGAATATTCAACCTTCAGTAATTTAGGCAAGACCAATATTAACATTTCTGGGGTTTAGAGTTTCTGAAATAAAACCCTGATTTTTTTTTTTTTTTTTTTCTTTCTTACAGTGGTGATTAATCACAGCCTGAATTTTGTAAATTGCTGAAAAGAGATTTCAGGTTGTGGTGCTGTACCTTCCAGTTATATGTTGAAATAACTAGTTGATTTTTTGTCTTCAGAAACGTTTGAATAAACCTTAGACCAATCCACAGATTTCTGTTTATTTTGCAGGATTATTCAGTTTCATGCTGTACTTTATTTTTTGTGGTAATTTTCTCTAGCATATTGTTTTTTGAAATGCCTTTGAGTCTCAGTTAGGTGTAAAGCTTTTTCAAAGGAATTGAGTTTTTTGTGCCCTCCAAATTTTTATCATCCTTTTCATATGCTGTTTTTAATACATACCTACAGTGTAATACTTCATCTCTGTCTTCCATAGTCCAGGTCAAGTACCCCTGAGCGCAAATTATGCCAAACATGCTCAGAATTTAAGCAGAAAACATACCCATAAATTTTGAAAACAAGGTGCAAGAGCTCAGTCTTGCAACAGTGCAGACTTTTCTGTCCTATGAGTTTAGAGTCTGAAAGGGGATTTGCATTTTGTAAAATAGTGTTTATAGCCACGTATTATAATTTCTTTTTGAAAATGCAGTTAACAGCTGTAAGCGTAACATTTAGCAAACTATGAAATCATATTGTTAATATTGCAGTCTATAAAAGTATTGATTATCCCAACAGAAAGGAGAAACAACTAGCCAGGTTCTGTATTAATTAGCTCTGTTTAGTGCTATTTGTCATCTGTTGGATTAATCTGAATTGGTTTAAAGCATGTTGTGTTAATTCTAAGATGAAGAATTAACATTAAAGTACATTAAAAGATTACATGTACTATTTTGCATATTGGAAAATTAATGTTAAAATATTGATAGCGCCATAAAATAGTCATTTATTCAAAATTTGCTGCAGAACTGTTCTTAATGCAGTAACAGAGAATTTTAGATTCTTATTCCTTGAATCCTCAAATTACAGAATAGGGCAGAATATTTACGTAAATGCTGCTTTGTTTATGCTCTTTTTTTCTCTGTCAATTATTTTCTTTAATGGTCATTTTAAATTAAGTTTTGAGACTGTACTGTTTTCTTTAATGCTGTATTCTTAATTCTTTCTGCTGTGTTTAGATTTAGTATTTCTTAATATAGTACCTGTAGCATAGTATATGTACCTGTTTGACCAGTAGATCGCTTTATTTTACAAAACATAGGCAATATACTAGCAACTGGGTGGTTCTGAGTTTGTAATGTTTTTGCTAGAGAATTCATAAAACCTGAGTATGTAATGGTCCAAAACTACTTCACAGTCTGTCTGTTTTCCACTTTGTTTAATAGCCTATGGCATAAATTGAAGTTAATTATTTGGGCTGACAAGTAACTCTGTTTTCTGTCTGCTTGCAGAGACTCTCCGAGGCAAAGATGGAGCTGAGAAGAAAAGATCAATCTCTGCGTCAGCTCAATAGACTTCTTACCCAGCTGGAGCAGGACAAGCGTCGACTGAAAGAGAGCATCCGTGATGCAGAGAGTGCCCTCTGCATGGCAGCGAAGTGAGCACTGGGACCTTGGGGAGATCACTTAAACAGACAAAAGATCAATTCTTACTTTCATGCACAGGGTTTTAGCCCTGGCTAATGTAATGCTAGAAAACAAAAGTACATCTGTCTCTCTTTGAAATTCAGTGATAGTCTTCTAAAAAGAAAACTGTTAGTTCAGGATACTACACGGTATGTTTTCTGTAGTTACCCCATAATAGTGTTCCAAATTCTTGGTCCTGAAATAGCATGTGAATTTTGGTTTGCTAATTATCTTACTGATTTAACAGCATCTCTTTGGCAGATACCCAACACTGTTTATTTAAGAAATTATTGCTTTTTTTCCCCCTCTATTTCCACATCTTTTTAGAGAGATACAACTTATTTATAATAAATACAGGAATGTCAGCTACATGACAGGTCTTAGCTGTCAGAGGGTCTGAAAATTGAGTTTGGACCTTGTCTTATCTGTGGAACAGGGTAGATCTTTCTACTAATCGCATAGAGTTTTGGATTTAGACATAAAACCTGTGCCTTTTTATACCATAATCATAATCTTGAAAAGATCGGTAGTCAAAACATGTTCATTGACTTGAATGAGATTATTACTAACCTCTTATGGTCGTATAGTCAGATAAAAAAGATAACTGTTATCTATTACTCTTACTGTAGTATGTACTTTGGATATTGTTGGTCTATGGCTAAGATTTTAAAAAAGTTTAAATTAGCATTTCTCATTGTACATGGGACACATTTGACATCAGAAAACAATAGTTTAGAAGCTTTAAGGTGTTCATGCACAATTGAAATAACGTCATTAATATAGTTACAAGTGAAATGTTTAAGAAGCTAATTAAAATGCTAAATGTTATGGGTGTAGTAATGCAGATGTGACCTGAAGAAGGATTTGCTTGGGAAAGCTTGCTCTTTTTCACCCTCCCCCAACCTATTTTATGTACTCTTGTAATGATCATTTCCTATGGCCCTTCTTATATTCAGAAAAGGGTATTTCAGTGAAGTTGTTTTAAATTGATTCTACTTCCATGTATTGTATCAGTTGAATATTGACAAAGAAAAATCCCATACCATTTCTTGTTCTACCAGCTTTTCATAACACGTCTTTTTTAACCCTTTGGAACATAGGAAGAAGGTGAAGGAGGCTTCACTTTTGTTCAGAAAATCTTACTTTAATACCTCTCCCACAAACTGGGTGATTGTAAGAAATGCCTGGGTGGCTTTCAGGTTCATTCCTAATATTTTGATTGGCTTTAAAGGATAGCAGATGGCAGGCTCACTCTGCGAATGGCTATCTTGATTATCTTGCAGTGGTGGCCCACAGTTCTGCTCTTCTTTCCTCCAGAGTAGGAGGCAGTTTTAATAAAAATATCTATTAATGTGGGTCCAAATTTCCGTCTGAAAATAATTTCCTTTTTATGATGAACACCTGAGAATATACGAGGAACAGGCTGACTTCTATGTCAGTAACTAACTTAAGAATTAATGATGTTGAACTGGCTTTCTAGAACTGACTTCACCCAGACAACTAGATAAATGAACCCAGCACAGGAGTGTGTCCTTGTCAGTCTAGTCCAGATAAAGGCAGGATCTTGAAAAGAAGAAAATCTATGTAACAGCTTTATTAGGAGTGTAAAAGCCAGTCCTACTTTTCTGACTGCCATCCTGTATTTGCTGTTGGGATAGTATAGATCAAGAAATGAGGAAGCAATAGGCATTCCAGGCAGAACAACACCATGTTTTCGACTGGAGGAAAGGAGGCGCAGAGGAGATCTTGCCCATCTGTGCAACTAGCTGAAAGGAAGTTGTAGTGAGGTGTTAGTCTCTTCTCCCCAGTAGCAAGTGATAGAACAAGAGGGAATGGCCTCCAGTTGTACCAGCGGAGATTGAGATTGGATATTAGGAAAAAATTCTTCATCAAAACATTTGTCAAGCATTTGAACAGGCTGTCCAGGGAAGTGGTTGAGTCACCATCCCTGGTGGTATTTGAAAGACATGTAAATACGGTGCTTAGGGACATGGATTTAAAAGACTTGTAGATGTTGCATTTAGGGACATGGTTTAGTGGTGGACTTGGCAGTTGTATTTGACCTTAAAGATCTTTCCCTTTTCCACACAAATATATAATTCTGTGACTTCTGTGTTAGGAACTGCAAGAGCTCAAACAAAATATTCACATAGCTAGCAAGGTAAAAGACAGTCCTAGAATATTAAGGTGTATCAGCTTTTCTGGCATAGATTCTGTTTGATTTTCTCTGTTGTTTTGTTGGTTATGCTGTTCTGTTCTCCTTAGTCAAATGGTATGGCACAACTTTAATTCCATTTCTGACAGTTCATCAGATGAGACCAAGGGTTTTTATGGCAGCATAACTGATAAAAGCTGTCTGTCTTACTTAAGCCCTAATCTACTGAAAGGTGTCAAAGTAGAATTGCATGGTCCAAATTTCTGTTTCATAAGGATAGGATCCTTCACTGGACTTCTTTTGGAAGAGGACGAGTGGAATGTTCAGGTTTAGAGAAGACAGGGAGACATTTATATAAGTACATAGTTGTTAGGCCCATAAAACTGGTGAAAACCACACAATTAGTGTTTTCTGGTACGAATATGTAGTATGTTCCTGCTAGAGCCTGGACTCCAGTCAACATGCCGTTTTTATCCAAGACTGCAGATTTCTCCTCCAAGAACATGATAGTTGTTTATCCACAACAGAAACATCTTTCATACAGAACTGTGCCGGGTAGTGGTCCATGGACTGTATTTTAGGATTTGCATTGGGGACACAAACATGAAAGATACAAACATAACAGTTTTGAGTCATAAACCATTATTTTTAAAGAGGTGATGGTTATAAAGTAGCAGAAAATTAATTTCTACATCAGTAGAGCTTCAGTTCAATTAACTGTGTTTTTTTTGTTGTTTTCTCTCTTGTAATAGAGACAAAGAATTGATAATTAGTCACATGAAATCTGTGGAAGCCACTCTTCATAAGGTAAGAATTTGAAGTGTTCCCTCTGCACTTGTATTTTCGAACACATTGGGGTTTTAGAACTGCTTAAATTCAGGGAAGTGGGGGCATAGAAGTTGTCAAAAAGCAACTTCCTTTCCTTAAAGTTTCCACCTTCAATTTCATTCAAGTTAAAAAAATATTCATATTTAGTGAAATAAAATACAATTTTGTAATACTCTGACATCTTAATATAAAGTTTATGACAAACCTCCTTACCTCAGTTGAACACTGTTTCTGGTTACTAAATGAGGACTACTGATCATTCAAACATTTGGTAATTGCTGCTAACTCACTCTGCTGAGTAAGGTGAAGGTCATCTGGTGAGGTCATGTATGTGGTGGCCGTAAGACATTTGGCTTTACCCATGCTACTTTAATCTTTGATACATGATAAATAGAATAGGGAAAATACAGTAAGTAATGAGCTGTAATCAGAAAGTTTCATGATACATTTTTAAAAGCCTTTTTTACATTGAGTAATAATCTGAAGCTGTCTCTTTGACTTGTCCTGTTTTGCCCTGGTATAGTATTATTTGAAGGTTTAACTAAGCTGTATGTATTAATTACAGGTGTTGTTTTCATCTGTAGCTCTGATTGTTTTGTAAGTGTTCTTAGTCCAGTGCAACACAGAACAAAAGTGGGTTTATTATCTTAGAGTGTTAATTTCCCTTATAAACACCCTGAATTCCCAGCAACATGGGAATCTACATCTTATCTTAGTTTCTGTGTCCACCCAAACTATCAACTCAAATTTCTCTTTTCTTTAATGTTCACAAAAAGTGACAATACCTAAACTGTGTGCTTTAAGTGTTGTAATCTGTGCTATTAGGTAATGTCTTCGTTTCTGTCCCATCTTTACACTCACTTCATTTAAGCTTGGAGAATGTATGTAATGCAGAAAGTGCTGTTTTGTTACAGTAACATGTACATGTAACATCCTTGGCCTTGAGAATTTCTTGCAAGTTTACTTTTTGATTTAGAAAGCTGTGCTGTATATGCACAAGGATTGAAATATTTGGAGAAAGGACAAGGGAAGTTTACATGCTTAGCACTGATTTTTCTGATGCAGGGAATGGATATAGGAACTGCCATCTTTCTTTGAGAATGTTAGTTACCACACCTGCTTCTTAGTTCTTGATGTACATAGTTGTTAGGCCTATATCGCTTGTTATTGAATAGTAGAGTAATTTACCCTTTCTGGTTTGTCAACCTAAAGAATGAAAAAAACATAAGAATTAGAAATGTCAGGATGCTTCTTTCAGCAGGAACCAAGAAGAATTGATTGTAAATCATTCATAATTTGACATATCACCTCTCCTGGAAAAATAAAGGGAAATTATTGATCTTTGTTTGGGAACTATCTGAAATGTAAACCCTACATGATAATGGTACCTAATTATCTAACATTAGTGAATTTGGCTTATGTGTAAACTATCAAGTTTACACTGTTGTTTTTAAAGATTTTCTTACACAGTGAAACATCAAAACATGATGAAGTAGATGAAGTACTAGTAAAGGAACCTCAAGCCTGAGGTTCCGCTGTAGAAATTCTGGAAACTGCTTTTGTTTTCAAAAGAGAAATCAAAAGAAAATGGATAAAGTTCAGAATCGTCTGGAGTTGAGTGAATATTACTATTAGCTGCAGGTACATATATGGGAGTTTGAAATTGAACATTGTGGTATTTCTGTGTTCATGTATTCATGAGCAAATATCCAAAATATTCCACTTGATCACTTGCAGGATCTGTGTTATCAATGCATAATGCTAATTTTTTGCTTATATTGCTCAGAGAGGTTTTACAGACATCCTTCATAATCTTGGTTAGAATAAGACAGTGTATACTGATATCCATTAAAGCGACCCTGCTCATTTATGTACATTCTCACTACAAGGATTCTGGAAGGTAGCAGTCTGCTTTGGATGTACTTCAGTGTAACGTTCAGCAAACAAAGCAAGAACAAGTGCATCTGAGGGAGACAATCTCTCTGCATACTTCTAGATCATTTACAGCACTTACTGCCCCCTGTGACTTAATGGAAAATCTAGCATCATATATTTGGCTTTGTCAACAAGTGCTTGGGCATGCTTGTGCCCAGAATTATTCTTTTAAGACCATTTCAGAGCCAGCTTTTAAAAACTATCATGAATATTTGTGAAGCATAAATGTTGAACTTTAGAATGTGCTATGCCAAGAGAGAAACTATTCTTAGCAGATAGTTCCATATCCTTTGTAACCTGCAAGATATTCTTTAGAGAGCTATTTTTTGTCTTATACTGGGTCTTGTCATGTTAGCTATCTTCATCTGACTCCTGGAGCTGGATTATTCGTACAAGAGTTCCTGATACCATTAAAATAAGAGCTCTTTCTTGGTTTTATACCATCTAAATATTGAGGACAAATATCAAAGTGCAAAATGAATGTTTTACCTGATAATAATAATAACAACCACCAAAACAACATTATCAAGGGCAACAAAGGACCACAAGAATTTTGTTAGTGGTGGGGGGTTTTTTTTGGTTTGGCTTGGTTTGTTTTTTGTTTGGTTGGTTTTTTTGTTTGTTTGTTTTCTTTGCTTTTCATTTGCATTCAGAAAACAGGTGCTTTTTTTTTTTCTCCTTCCCACTGTACTGAAGAGGATTTGTGTCTGTGACTTGACCAGTTCCTTTAAAAAAAGAAAAAAACTGAATGGAAGATGCAAAATGGTAACAAATAAATAAATCTTTACTGGAAGTCTTACTAAAAGAAAATCCATTTGTTTAAAGTGCAAATGTAGAGTTTCCTGAAAAGTCTTATCATCGAGAGAATAAGTATTTAAGTAAATATCTTATTTAAAGAGCCATCTGCAGTCCTTTTTTTGTGTATGAAGAATAAATGATTTTTTAAAACTTCCAAAAAAATATTTTTTTATAAATATATCTGTGTTATAGTTGTTAGCAAACTTGATTTCATTATTAATTTCTTGTGTATTTTTTAATACTGTTTGCATAAACAGAGTAAAAGACATTAAATCTGTTCGCTCTATACGACTGGATTCCTTCACATGTGCAGATAATGATTTATGAGTTACAGTAAACACACTAGTGGAAGAAATAATTTTACACTATCTCCGCTAAAATCTTCAGTCTTCCCCTTGTATTGCTTCTCAGTTGGAGAGTTTGTAGTGGCTTAGCCTTGGCCAGCAGCCAGTTGCCCACCTAACTGCTCTCTCACTCCTCCTCAATAGGGAAGGGGTACAAAATAGAATCAGAAGGCTTAGGGATTGAGATAATAGCTGCAATAGATTGCATACCAGTTACTGTCACAGGTAAGCAAACCAGAGCTGACTTGGGGAAAATTATTTTATTTATTAAAATAGATATGGATAATGAGAAACAAAGACAAAAAAAATAGCATCCACCTACCTATTAGGTGCAGCTTCACTCCTGACTCCTGTGCCTGTGCTCTGAGGAGTAATGTGGGGCATCGAAGGACAGGGGATTGGCTTTAGTCTGTAACAACTCTTCTGTGCTGCTCCTTCCTCCTCATATTGTTTCCATGCTCCAGTGTGGGCTCTCCATGGACTTCAGTTCTTTCAGGAACTATTCACCTGCTCCAGCATGGGGTCCTCCACTGTCTACATTGTGGATGTGTGCTTCTGTATAGCCCTCTGTGGGCTGCAGGGAAATAATCCACTATCCATTAATCCAGTGCCTCAGGTACTTCCCCCACCACTTCTTCTCTGCCTTTGGTGTTTACAGGGCTGTTCCTCACTCTTTTTTTTCCCTCCTCCTCTGCCTGTTTGGTAGTTTTTGCCCTTTCTTAAGCACATTTTCATAGAGGGGCCACCATCATGACTGAGGGGCTCAGCAGTGCCCTGTGGTGGGTCTCTTGAAGATGGCTGGAAACAGCTCTGTCCAGCATAGGGCAGCCCCTGGGCCGTGCCTGAGCACCTACACCTGATACAGTGCTGTAACTGCTTCTTCTTCAGCTTCCCAAAAGCCCTGTTCTCTAAACTCTGCCCGAGCAAAACACCACCATGGGAAGTCATCTAGTGAGTCAGCCTGTACAGAGACAGAAAATTGTTTCTATTTCCCACTGTACTCTTCACTAGTAAGGTCTTGACAAACTTTATGGGCTGGCAGAGTTTCAGTTTGTCCCAGCCCTGGCTGCTTAGGATTTGGCCATTTTAACGGGTTAATAGAGTACCTTATCTTCACAAGCTTAGACTGTTAGCCACTACCCTGTGAGGCTGATGAGCTGTGATAATAAGTCCATAAAAACACAAAAAATCCCTAAAAAATCTTTTTTCCCAGTACTGGTTAGCAACCCATTCTGATGTTTTGGGACAGTTCAGGGATCAAAGCACGTATCCACTGTTCTCATTTTGGTTTGGCACCTCGTCAGAAATATTATTCTTCATCCACTTCTGTAATGCACTTCATTTCTGCTGATTGAAAGGTTCATATGCCAGCTGGCAGAACAGCTTCCACACAGACCCATCAGCGGTCGCCTTGAAATCCTTCCACTATTGTGTTTTATTGCCTTGCTGCTGCTCCCTTTCCACCCCTGTTGTCTTCTCCGAAATGTTCCTAAACTAGCTATGCATGAGATTTGCAGCCCACAGTTCTATCAGTTGAAAAGAAATCTGAACACTGTATGATCCATCCTGTTACATACTTGTAAAATGGAAAGACAAAAGTATCTTTCTTTATCCAATTTAATGATGTTTTTAAACCAAGATAAAGAGACAGTTGGGGATGGGGGGAGACCATTGAAGACTTGAGAATTAGTAATGAGGTAGCATTAGATTGCTGTTTCTCACGTGGTCCGTAGCAATAAAATGCATTTCCTTATGCTGGCGGTTTTATGGCCTGTGAGAAATTAGTTTACAATAGGTATAAGTCCATATACAAGTGACTACATCAGTAAAAACACTCAGTGTATGTATCATTAGTTAGTTTCAGCAAGAAGACCACAAACTGATCAGGACTTGAGAAAACAG